CCCCCCCAACAGTGCCCCTTCCGTGTTATTCCTTAGAAGATCTGCTTTGTTTAAACGTCTGTGGCGGCATCCTGCGTGCTCACGGGATGCCGCCGCGTTTACTGTGATTGCTGTAGTCACTTACATTAGCCCTGGCTCTTAACTCTCATCTCATGGGTGGTTTACTGTATCGATGTTTTTCTCCCATAGGTTGTAACCCTGGGGAAGAACAGCCGTGGTTACCACTACATTCTGGCCAATCTTGTGAGTAATAACTATGCTGCTCCCCTGGGGTGGGGGGTGTGGGGAGGGGGACACCAGCTTTTTTTCTGCATGGAGTCTAAGTCTCAGCCTTGGGCGCAAATGTGCATGGACAATAAGTGGATTAAAGGCTTTTATATAGGACTGTATATAGTTTTTTCTCTCTCTACATATATATATATATATATAAGGCTTTCAATGTTTGTGCCTCATGCTTTATAAATCACAGTCCAGCAGTCACACTACATTGCAATTTTGCTTCAGTATACAGTCATATTTGAATATCAGTGAGCATCCTTAGCAATAAATAAACAGGATTTAACCTTTTTAACGATCCTTGGAGGGCAGCCATATTTTTTCCCTTCACTCTCGGGAATGTAATGTTCATTTAGCCTTGGTATTAGCATGAGCGTTTTTAAGTGAAAGGCTGGCCCCGCTCTCACTCGCTGATCTCCTGCTGCCATTTCTCCGAGTTTAGAAGATGTGATTATGCAGCAGTCAGACTCGTGTCCTTGCACAACATGACACAATTCTGCACTTAAAAAACAGTGATTTGACCATAAAAAGAAATAACTGTCATAGCTCCAGGGTCAAGAAGGAAATTTAAAGGCAGCTGGTGCAGCGTACGTTTTTAAAATGCATTAAAAAGTGTTAGGGGGGCTTTTTTTGTTGTTGTTTTTTAACATGGTAAGGCTTTCTGAATGAAACTAGGCCAGCTGGTTCAAGTAAAAAATTTAGACTCTACATGGTATGACACAAACTCTAAAGTATCTTCTGGCTGCTTGTGTATGTGAAAATGAATTCAGGTTCCACCGCAAAGTGTGAAGAGAAACATTTGCTTCAGTGTAATTGCAAACACATGCTGCTCTCTCCGACAGCACAGGATCCTTAATAAAATGCACCTTGCGCGCTGCCAGAATGGCTGCTAATATTTTGTGGAGCTTTGCCCCGGGTTATATTAAAAAACCTCAAAGAAAAACAAGTTACATGAGTCTCATCCTCCCCCGTTTCTCTTTTGTCTCGTCTCAGGGATTTTCTAATGTGAGCCTGGACAAAGTCTTCGCCGGTGGAGCCAACATTTCAGGGTTTCAGATAGTCAACCCTGAGAACCCGATTGTGCAGCAGTTTATTCAGCGCTGGGAGCGGCTAGATGAAAGAGAATTCCCAGAGGCCCGAAACGCCCCTCTGAAGGTGCTATGCTTGCAAGGCCTTTCATTGTGCATGCGGAGTGCAACGATCATCCTTTCTAAAGTGCTGTCTATTGGTTCTTCTCCTCTCATCCTCTGTTTGCCTTTGTCATTCTCTTGTCTTTCCCACCCTTTGCTTCCTCTGTCTTAGCGTTGCATCCCTCAGAGCAATCGATATATTGATAGGCAGCGCAAGCCAAGGTTATATTGCTGCTTCAATTTACATCTAATTAAACAATGATCAAGAAAGAAATGGATTTTGAATGGCATTTAATTAGATTTTGTCACGGTGCGCTGGTCAACAAACAAGTGGCTCTAGCCTCCGTGGTGAAAAGGTCAGGCGAAGTTGGAAGGGAAGTGCGTGGGAGATAAAATCATGCATTAATTCTCTATTTAATTCTCCCCGCTAAAAAGTTTTCAAAGAGGTCCTGACCCTTAGAGAAGTCCTGGCTTTTCTAATCCAATCTATCTAATCTAGCTATTTTTAGCATGAGCAAGCTGTCAGAGGTTTCGCCAGCGCCGCCCAGACTGACCCGCCTGGCAAGTGCTGAAATGCAAGTCATGAGAGCAACATATAGGCTGAACAAATTACACCAGGATTTTCTCATTTTAACAGCTTTATTAAAAAAGCAGCAGTCTTTTTTTATTGATTTGTTTTTACCTCACACCAATTCAGCGTGTCTTTAGCTGTTTTGTTGTTTGACGTGCGTGTGTGTCTGTGTGCAGTACACTTCAGCTTTGACCCACGATGCAATCCTGGTGATAGCAGAGGCCTTCAGGTACCTGCGGCGCCAACGTGTGGATGTCTCTCGTCGAGGCAGCGCCGGAGACTGCCTAGCCAATCCCGCTGTACCTTGGAGCCAAGGCATAGACATCGAGAGAGCTCTCAAAACGGTAGGGTGGGGGCGGGGAAAATGGAAAGCGAGTGGCAAGCTAAAAACTAAAGAAAAGGCTGGAGGAAGCGAAGCACAAATAGCAAGTGAGAGAGTGATAAAGATGGAAAGTGACAGAGAGAAGGGAAGAGAGTGTAGAGCTATTCTCCTCCCTCTGCCTGCAGATATCTCTGCACAGAGCTCACTCAAAAATCCAGGCCCTCATTACCATAAAACTACATCTTTTATTAAAGCGTATCCAGTTCATCATTTGATTAACAGACAGCATGCACTTCAGTAGCTCCGTGGACTCCAAGTACCTTAATGCCAGCTACAGTATGCAACCTGGGTTATAACTACTGCACATTCCACTGTGTCTTTCTGTCTGCCCATTAGGTCCAAGTACAGGGGATGACTGGGAACATCCAGTTTGACAACTATGGCCGCAGGACCAATTACACCATAGATGTTTACGAAATGAAAACAGGTGGGCCGAGGAAGGTAAGAGAGGCCGGTGGCTGTCATCTATCAAATGTGACGTACAGACCTGATCAAAAAAACAAAAAACATTTCATCTCTCTCTTTAAAAAATCTAACAGCTGGCACACATCAAAATCATGGAATCTGGCCAAAGTGTAATTTATAAATGATTTATTTCTCGGCTCTAAAAGAACAAAACTCAGTGACTGTTGGTCACATGTTGCCTCGAGCCATTTAGAGACTAATGCATGATTGTGCAGAAGTGGAAAACATTTTCAAGCAAGCCTGTACTGCCATTTATTAAAGTACTGAGGGCCAGGTGGGACCAGCAGGGCTGAGAGGACAGCAGAGAGTAATGCTGATTGCCTTTCTCCACCTCTGTTAGGTAGCAGCACTGATGAGCTATGCCGAGTATTACAAGCCCCACAAATCAGTCGTAGCCTGCAATCTGATAGCTAAAGCTGTCCTATCAAAAGAATGATAGAGAACTATTTCATTGCTGTAGGATAGCACAGATTTGATATTTGGTCCTCTTCTGACAGTAATTACCATTCAAATAACCAATTACTGTAAAGGAGGATCCAAGAATTCCTCTGGCTCCTCTTCAAAATGCTAATTCCCAGTGGTACATTCACATTATAACCAGCACCATATGATGACCTCTGGTTTTATTTCATAACCTCTCTGAGTTCCAAGAGACAGCTGTGAATTTCTCGTTAGCTGGATAAGTGTGGGCTCAGTGTGATGTGATGTGTGATTATGCCGCCTGCCTCCCAGGCCTCTAAAGCCCACACTTCAATTAGCATTGCAAAGCCCTCACAGCTATCCCTACACTGTCAAACAGAGGAGGAGAGAGCGGGGAGAGGGGCCGGGAGAAAGGAGGTCAGCGGGAGAGAGTGAGGGAGCGAGGGAAGACGAGACAAGTCGGGCAGGCTGGGCGGCACTTTGTCATGGACCTGGAGCCCCAGTCACCCCAGTGACAGTTTCGAGGATGAAGGTTCTTAGCTGTGACTGTCACGATTGATGCATGGGCTGATATCTGTCCCAGCTGCTAGGGGGTGAGATCAGGACAGTGCCACTGGAGCAACACTCCGTGACACAGGTCCCAGCAGCCGTGTCCCTCGAGCAAAGTGTCTCAAATATCACTCAAGGACTAGAGAGCCTGGAATAAGCATTTAATAACGTCCAGCACCGCCCCGCCCGCCACCCCAAATCACCCAGTCTGCCAAGTGCACTTAATACAGCCACAGCTGTAACAATCGGGAGCTCAATTCTGAGGCGTCTGCTGCTTTCTAGCGCCCCCACTTGGTGCTCAGTCTCTGCTGTACACCTGTTTGTCCCAAACATGAAAGATCTCATGCAAAAGAGAAAAAAAAAGAAAAGGAAAAGAAAAAATGCAGACCAGATGTGAAGGAAAGAAAAATCCAAGCCAGCAACAGTTAGACTTTTGGCAATAACATATGCAACACGTTTCATCACGAGCCAGAGCAGCCATTATTTCAGACGGGCAAACAAACACTTGACATTGGTTTGACTTAAGCATCTGTAGAGCAGAATGCAGAGTAACTACAGCGGCAGGACAGAGCAAAACTGAGGAGCCACTGCAATATTATGCTAGATTATTAAACGTGTATGCGGTTCACAGGTTTGAATATCAATTATTTACCATAAAAAGGTGGAAGGGATTGAAGTTGCCATATGCTCACGGATTGCAAAGGAGCAATTGGGTATCTGAATTTCGGGTGGATCGTAAAAGGCAAAAGTCCCTCTGTAATCACGTCCGTTATCTGCAGAAATGTAAACGCAGCATTCTATGCCCAGAAAACTGTACCTGTTTATCTGGTCTGTTTTAGTACTCTGCTCATGTGGTTGAACATCAGGGCAGAGGCAACAAGTCTCTGGGGAAAGCTTCGTTGTTTCAATGAGCTCTGCAGCGCTGCATTTCCCTGTAATATTTGTTCATTTCCCTTCTGTATGCTCACTTATATCTGGACCGTGGGCCGGAGTGCATCACTAACCGCTGTTTTCTCTTTGCAGATCGGATACTGGAATGAGTACTCGCGGTTTGTAAATATTATGGATCTGCAGGTCTCCAACGACTCCTCAGTGGAAAACCGAACGATTGTGGTCACTACTATTATGGTACACTTTCCACGCAATTTTAAATGTTTCACGTATTCTGCCACTCAAGGTCATGGTGTTGATTCCAATGAGTGATACATTCTGTCCTGGGCGGGTAGAACCACATCTTTCTTGTGTTGCTTTCCATCCACTCACTACACGTTGAAACAGTCGATCCGGCTTGGAGGAGTGTTTCAACTGTATCCGTGTGGGTGTCAAAGCATTTTGATTTTCCATACTTCAGTGGCCTGTCGTAGCAGTGACATCACAATAATGGTATAAATGATTATGGTTGACTCCATCAGTTACAAAAAAAAAAAAAAAAGCATACAAATGCATACGTAAGTAGACCTGTCTGTCCTCATCAAGTAAATGTTCAATGACACTTGGGATAGACTGGCCGCAGAATGACTACAGAATGATACTGCAATGGTTTCCCAGGTGGGGCAAAGCAAAATAAACAGTATTGGAGGGGGATGATGAGAAGGTGCTGTATTTCTTTTCCCTTGTTATCTCCCCTTCAATCTATTTTGTATTGCTCCTGCTATGTGTTCTGTGTTGAAGTATGCACAGCTTGTTAGCCTTTTAAACGGAAGATCATGTTCGAGGCACTTTCACAAAGGAACATATAATCACCAAATATATTTTCGATTTCTTTTCTTTAAACTGGATTTAGTAGGTAAATATTTCGGGCTTATTGGACGGCTCCCATATTTACTGACTGTTTAATGGCATTCTAATTACCTGTTCTCCGCAAACAAACGCTTAAAAATGACAAAGAAAAACGTTTGGAAAAGTGATAAGTGTCCATGGGATTTATGCAAAGCTAGATCTTCATCTGTATTCCGAGCCGTAAGCCGGCGTCACTCAATAGCGAGAGGAAACATTTAACATCTCCAGGTGAAAAATACAGTCAGGAGGCAAACACGTGTTAACAAGCAGAAAATACTCAATGGATCCAAGGTTAGGGGATACGTTCAGCACAGAACAAACAAACCATTGCTCTCCTACTTGCACTCTAATTGTGTGTGGCTGTAATGACAATGCCTGCTCTCCTGAGCAGTCCTATTGTTTGATAATGATGATGATGTGCTCAGTAAGAGAAAAGACGAGCTGCACCGGCATTTTGAAAAGGAGAGGAACACTAGCACGCTCCTGCTCTCCTGATCTAGTTATTTTACTTTACAGAGTACTCGTTTGCTCTTTTTTTTCCTAGATAGCAAACAACAGCTTTTTATAATCATTTTATTTTATATTATGTTTTTTTTTGGTTTGGTTTTTTTGGAATGAAACAGCCTTTAACTGCGCATTGATGCAATGTGCTTGAATATGTCGAGATACTATGGGCACTCTCTGATCCCTCTCCTGTCACTGGCATTTACTTATGAAACCCATTCCCATCCCCACCCACCTCTGAGCTGAGCCACACCTTGCCTACCAATGACTCCCAGCCCAGCTTACTCTGTGAAAGTGAAAAACTTTTCTTTTTTCTAAATTATTTCCCGTTGAAACGATTATCCTCTTTTTCATTGACCCCCTTTATTACGGCCTTGGGCTCAAAAATGGGTTGGGTACATTGGCCTTGGTGTCTGCTGGCTGCCACCGCTTGATGAAAGCAGTGTGAACACTCGGTCACGCTGCTGTTATCAGTGCGTATTTGTGCATTCGCAGGGCATCATCTGTGTATGCACGACTGCATGGATGTGGTTATAGCAGCTTCTCATATTCTGTGTGTGTGCGGGAGTGCGTGCGTGCACGGAGTTATGTGAGAGCGTGCATGCATACATCTGTATAATGGAATCTGTGCGATGGCATGGGAGTGAATAAACCAGCGTGTGTTTGAATCAACAGGAAGCTCCTTATGTGATGTACAAGAAAAATTATATGCATCTGGAGGGGAATGACAGATATGAAGGCTACTGCGTCGATTTAGCATCTGAGATTGCCAAACATGTTGGAATTAAGTACAAACTGTCTATAGTAATGGATGGAAAGTACGGAGCCCGAGACCCTGAGACCAAGACGTGGAACGGGATGGTGGGTGAACTGGTCTATGGGGTGAGTACTGGGAGTCTCACTGATTACATGACAGTTTGCAAGGAACTTCAACATGAGAGGAGATCTCATTTTTCTATCTTAAGGTTATCACCAACCCATAGTGAACTCATCAGCTCTCGCCCAGTGCAAAAGCCTAATGCTGGCCCAGGAAGCTCAGCTGTGAGTGAATTTGTCAAATGCAGCCTGAAGCATTGGGGAGTTGGTGATCATCTTGAGATGGAGAAAATGAAATCATTTCTCAGTGCTGTTCATTGCAATTAATGCTCTTTGCTTTAGCCTGAAAATCCTAACTCTCTTGCAGGCGATACCAAGGTAGGTGGAAGGCAAAAGAAGGAGTCCATATGGCAAACACACTGTAATCACTTTGATGAATGAAAGAGTGTATGCCTTTGAAGTGATTGTGTAATTACACTCAATGTTTCATGTGTATGATGAATACGCCGCATTGTAAATTCACAGCTGAGAAAATCTGCTTTAGAATCAACAGCTAAATTGTGGCTTGCGGTTTGGAACAACAAGATCCATATGTGGCGCGCTCCATAAACGTTGAACCTCTCAGATTAGCGAAGGGTCACACCGTGTTTTACATCTGACGGCGCCCGGGCCCGTGCGACACCTCCAGCAATCCAAAATTGCCTCCCCTCCCGCCGCCCCATCCAACCCCACCAACCCGCTCACCCCTCTCCAAGGCCACAGCGGTTGAGCGGGGGCCAAATGCAAAATGCATGAGGGTTTGGCTTCCTCATCTGTTCAATTTCCTAACTATCAGCTTGAGAGATTGCCTGGTTTGATGTGCTATCGCCACCAAATTATCTTTCAAATGGGAAAAGACCACTCCTTGCAGATGGAAGGGGAGGAGGCGGGGAGAAAAAAAATCTTCCAATCACATCTCTGTCAAGTCTTTCCAGGCCTGTAATTTTACAGCAGGTGGGCCGGGACTAATAGTTTTGTACATTTTGACCTTTTGACCAGTAAATTAATTTGATTTTAGTTGTCTTTTAAAGGTTAGGCCCGAGGCTGCTCTTTATTGCTTTGTTTCCCTCACCATTGATTGAGTGCTGCTTACGCCCGCACCCCGGATTAAATGGTTATAGCTGCTCGCAACGTTGTGTTGACAGGGCAAAGAAAACAGTCGTGTTTATCGGCTCTATTTGTGTTGCTCCTCGGCTGACCTTGTAAGAAACATTTTCTGCCTCCTGCTGATTCAGTCCAATGTTTTCTCGGTTTCGCCGCGAAAAAAAGAGAAAATAAACAACAGCTCAGGCCGATATGAAGAATCGTCTTCTGCGTATTGTCTCCTTTGAAGAGGAGCAGTTATTTAATTAATCACATACACAAGCTGCAGTAACACTGTTGAACATGATTAATTATTTTCTTCTGCCTTTACAGAGAAACCCATTGTGATTTCTAAAAAGGCAGCACCACCTCCGTGGATGTGTTTTGATAATATAATGTGATTGAAGCAGCAGAGCAAAGGAGGGGGATAAAGAGAAACAGCTTGGGAAAAAAAAAAGAAAAAAAAAAGCTAATGCCAGAATAAACAGTTTGGGAAACCCGGCGTGCTGAATGCCATGTGATGAAGTGTACACAGGGAGGGCTCGCAGATTTCTCTATGCAGCAACCTGTTTACATTTCGCAAATTAAAAGTTAACAGTTCTAATTAGCATGCGCACTTAACACTTAATTTTGCCTTGTGTTTGATTGCAAACAGTTTGTTTTGATTCATTTAGCGCTCCAAGTGTTGGCTAATATCCCAGGTCACGACAAAACACACGGCGCAAATGTGACCGTGCTTTCTCTCTTTGTGTGTGTGACTGTGCATGTGTGTGTGTGTGTGTGTTTGTGTGTTTTTCAGCCTGTCTTCCAATGTGGTGGCTCATTTATGAAAATGATATGTATAAAATGTATAATAAAATATTGTTGTTTTATATCCCCCTCAGCTCCAGCCATTCAAACATAAAGAAAAGAAGTAAATAAATAACCTCTTTCTTTATGCAGGTCATAACTAACACTTGCTGTGCATGTCCCTGTTTCCAGAGAGCAGATATAGCCATTGCACCTCTCACCATTACACTGGTGCGAGAAGAGGTGATAGACTTTTCCAAGCCATTTATGAGCTTGGGCATCTCCATTATGATAAAGAAGCCGCAAAAGTCCAAGCCCGGTGTTTTTTCCTTCCTGGACCCTCTGGCCTATGAAATCTGGATGTGTATAGTGTTTGCCTATATCGGGGTGAGCGTGGTCCTGTTCCTGGTCAGTCGGTTTAGTCCTTATGAGTGGAACCTCGAGGAACAGGATGAGACCAAAGACCCTCAGACTCCCCCCGATCCTCCCAATGACTTTGGCATCTTCAATTCTCTCTGGTTCTCGCTGGGCGCCTTCATGCAGCAGGGCTGTGACATCTCCCCCAGGTGGGTCAGCTCCAGTAGACACAAGTAGTGGACAGCAGATGAAAATAGAAAAACAAATCTGATGACTACATGAAATCTTAATTTTCTGTTCTTCTCCTTTTAGGTGTTCATTGCTTGTGCTAATTTTGCATTCATTGCAGCTATCATATGTGCAATGTCAGTGTCAGTGAGCGTACGATGAAATATTTATCACCATAGTAGACAGATCAATAAGTTCCACAGGCTGTGAAATGACTTTTGAACCCTGATTGTTTCACAAGCAAATAAAGACTTGGATTGGAGTACATTTAAACAACTTGCCTTTACTTGTTCCGTGGAAATGTGCTGTTTCAGAGTGCTGATGCAGCACCAGGTTGCCGTTAATGATTTACATGGAAATTCTGATGACTGATGCAATTAGGTACATTAAACACAACTGGCAGATCTTAGCTGGTTGATGGCCACCACATGCCACCGTGTAATTACATCCCGTGTTTCCCTGTCGTCAACCCCTCTCTCGCAGGTCTCTGTCAGGCCGAATTGTTGGCGGTGTGTGGTGGTTCTTCACCCTCATCATCATCTCCTCCTACACAGCCAACCTGGCTGCCTTCTTGACAGTTGAAAGAATGGTCTCTCCTATAGAAAGTGCCGAAGATCTGGCAAAGCAGACAGAGATAGCATATGGCACTTTGGACTCAGGCTCCACTAAAGAGTTCTTTAGGGTGAGTAGTGTCAAGAAACTGCTTTATGCACGCATACACACACACAGCACAACACTAATCAGCCAGCGACTCCTTTTTCTTTCAGCTCAAATGGCAAATAATGCATTTGGTTTAAATATTTTGCACTCAGGCGTTCTGAATCATAAAAAACTGCTCTGTGCAATGTCCTTGATCAACTCCTCCTTGCAACTTTTCCATTTTGTACCTTTAGTGCAGCACTCTTGACCTGCACAAGATTGCTCCAAATGAGGCGTGTTGACACAGAAGCAGTTCTTGAACTCTTATGACACAAACGTGAAATTTATGCAGTACTACTGCAGTGTGCAACCTTGAGGCACGGGGCCTGTCAGCAGAAAGCGTGGTAACAACACGGAAGACTCAGAGGTGATAAAAACAGGAGGCTAATCAAAGTACCCACATCAGACTCAAACTCAGAAGGGTCAGTTCATGAAGTGTAATTAGCTAGCTGGCCATGGCAGGCAAATTGGACCTGATGAAGAAGAGCCCTGTAGGTCAAACAGAGCAGTCTGAAAGACATTTTAGAGGGAATAAGCAATATGTCCGTCGGTGTGAGAGACTAAGCAGGCAATTAGGTTATAAATGAACTAAAATCTGAAGCAAAAGTGTATTAGTCTGCGAAAGGCTACACAGCAGTTAGACAGTGCTCATATCTGAGACAATCAGGCTTCTGATGTGAAACGCAGAGATGGCTAAAGCTCATGGCCGTGGCTACACTAGCAGTCCAGTGTTGAAAAAGCATTAACGAAACAGCACTCAGCCTGTGATGACGAAAAGGCAATATGACAGTCTTTTATCTTACGCTCCCTCATTACTCATCAGCAGGAGAGAAACAATTCATATGTTTCACAGCTGCAGCCTGTTGGCAGAAAGAGCACTTCATTTGTATTACCCCTGGGTTGCGTTGCTCACGACAACAAAATGCAAAGTCAAATCTGTGCTTTTTATTTTTGGGCGGGGGGGGTTAAAACAAAGAAGGGAAAGATAGTGTCTGCACAGCTTAATGTTTAAAACCCTTTTCTTTTTAAGTCTGCAAACTCTGGGGCTGTTTAAAAAAAGGGGGCTGCACTCAACGGTAACATCGCACATTCTAGGACACATGGCGCATGACCGCATCTTTTTTTAATTCTCTATACACCACCTCATAAATCTGTCATCACTTTCCCTTTCACCAGAGATGCCGCGCAGGTGTGTAAACAGTGTACTATATGCCTTTGTGTCACACACATGACGGATGCCAGTTACAAATTAGCTTTAGAGTCTGACGACGGAGCCACCGAAGGTCTGCTGGTAGGAACTGTCTGAGAAGTGGTCGGGAAGTCTGGAGTTTTCTTGTGTTCTGTATAATGAGCGTCCTAGATACATCCCCGAGTCTTCAAATAGGAAATGACATGTGTGAGCTGCTCTTCCAAGGGACTTTTAATTAAAGCTGTAGAAAGCTGACAAGGAAAAAAACACACTGATTAATCGGAGTTCAAGTTCTATTTCAGATCTGTTTTCAGGAAATACATTCAGGCTTAATTAGACCCATACGGCATCAACCAGCTGGAAATTTTAAATCAAGTCCAAATTTTCAAACAAGACATATGTCATCATCTCTGACATTGCTGGCCTTGAATTTTTCATGATTTCACCTTGTTTATTTTCCAGAGCTCCCCGACAAAGAGGAACAGTGCTGCAAAACATATTTATTACCTTTTTAGTACAAAGAAATACATAAAAAAGAATATTGCTTGTGGTAATAAGCTACCAAGCTCTCTAACTCCTGTGTGGATTTTAATGTATTAATATTAGTTGAATTATCCCATTATCTACTGGAGTTCAGACATTCCTCCAAGGCTGTTTTCCTCTGTGCCTGATAAATTGACACAGCTGACAGTGTGGCAATATTGCCATCGCTGTGTACACCTATGACAGAAATTTTAGAAAAGCTGCAGAGGAATTTTCAAAGAGCGGTGTCAGAGTCTGCTGATTCTGCTGCCCACAACAAGCTAGGACAGCTGGTCTGGGAGTCCGCTGACGTGCCCAGCGGAAGCCTGACTGGCTCTAGGCGCTTGGCACCGCCTCTGCCCGTTCTTGGCTCGTCTTCCCAAGACTACCCTGCTTGTTTGGGCACCCTTCTCTCCTCGGTCCTCTGTCTTCAGCCCGTCTGCTGCATTACCTTGAGACAGTGGTGGGATAGCTTCAAGCTTTGTAATGCTCTTCCTCAACACAGCAGCTGTCATGCTCTACTGCACTGCTGTGGTTTGTTTCATCATTTGAATTCCTGTCATGGATCTTTTCATGCAGCCAGTTGAATATTTGGGTTTTGGATGATTAGAAAATGATGAGTTGTACCAGCGAGGCCATGTTTATCCTCTTGATGAGGTTTTATTCCATCAGAAAGGCTTGGCTCGGTTACATTTCCAAATGTACATGGAGGCAGAAGCTGGATCATAATAACGGCCGGGATGATAAAATGAGCTGATGTGGCTGTTTAATTATGTGTAAAGACTGGGGTGAGACCATCAAAGACAACCACACTGCTGTCCCTTCATGCACCTCATTTAACAGTGTAATAATGAAAGAATGATAATTGCACAGAGAAATGAGAGTGCAGCATTGTTTTCTATTGTCCTCATAAGACTGCACATTACCCGCAAGCCTCAAGAGCGAACATCATGCATCTTACTGATCAGCAGGTGTGTTGGAGATGAGAGCAGCAGCTTGAGTGCAGTCACCAATGCATTTTACTAAGCATGAAAATCAATTTCACGTCTCAGCTACTGTGGTACAGACACGGTGGCTTCAGCAGGGTCCAACGCAATGTTTAATAAGCAGCTTTTCTTTTTTTATGCAGAGTAGACCTGCATTAGGGCACGGTAGCACGAAGAAGAGCAGTCAAGGAGATTTATGCAAGAAATTCTTAGGTTGCCCTGCAGTCATATGCAGCGCATTGTAACACAACTCCCCGAGCTCTTGTCACTTTGTGTTTCAGTACAGTGTTGGGTAAAGGGGTGGCTCCTATAAAGATTAGAGGCTGTTTGCATAAAAGGGAAAGCTGACAAAAGTGTCTAGCGCAAGATAGGCATAACCTCTGAGGAAAAACACCATACTCTGAGGGCCCAGGCGAACTTTAGATCAGCGGCAACAGCGGGCGCGAGAGCGGTTATTGGAGTCCAGCAACGAGCATCAAAGACGAGCAATTGGTATTCAGGGTGTAGCATGTGGCACTTCAATGACAAAGTACACCCCCAGAGCCTCAACTTTCATCTCTGCATACTTGAGATACAGGTAGTCCTGGCACACAGGATATTGGAGGAAAGTGGTGATGTCTACAAACAAAATGGAAGTGAAGTAAAGTCGAATGAAATGTAGTGGCGGTGTGTTTGGAGATGGCCTTTAAGATACACAAGCAGTGGAGCGTATGTAGGGGAGGCTATAATGAAAGCAGCCGGCCACGCCGAAGGAAGAATAAAAAACAGGTTGCGGTTCGAAGGGCAGTGGACAGCATCCTGGAAACGCTGCGTAATTCCAAATCAATACAGATTAAGCGGTTATTTAGAACAGAGAGGTCAGTTTCTTTGACTTTGAACTTCAAACACGTGTTTCTCCTTGAACAATTTAATGACATTATTAGCAATATTGCAATAATAGAATCTTCAGCTGATTTCAAGGAGAAGTGATCTTCAAAATACAGAAATGTAAACCTTCTTCACCTTTGTTTTCTCTTCCTCTGCATCACAGAAGACTTTAAAGACTGTTGCAGGCCAATAAGCATTCTCTAGATTGCAAAGAGATACTTACAGGGTAACCTGATTAGTCTCAGAGGAAAATCTTTTGTATCTAAAGTAGTTTAAGGTGAATAGTGGGTAATGGCAGAAAAAAAAATCTTCGTTTAAAGTTTTAACATAACTTTTCTGCAACTTCTTTTGTACTCGAAAATCCAAGACTTGTGTAAATCCAAATAAGACCATGTTTCACTAACTTCTGCAACTCGACTCAACTGCAATCTCAGTGAAACATGTTTCTTTTTAAGCAGCCATTGTTTGAAAAAAAAACCAAACGACCATATTCTTGGGGATTTTGTATTCTACAATCAATGACCACTCTCTTCACTCACCTCCATTCACTCTCTGTGTGTTTATACTAGAGATGGACCAATCCGATATTACGTATCGGTATCGGTCCGATACTGACCTAAATTACTGGATCGGATATCGGAGAAAAATAAAAAATGTAATCCGATCCATTAAATATCACGAAAGCACCTCACAAAACTTGCAACACGCCGTAACTCACCTCAGAACGTTAGCACACCTCGAACGTTACACGCGAGCAGTATGCATCACGTGATAGAGTCGGCTGTGGCATGCGGGACCTGTCGGTGGTCTGGATAGCATTTGGAGCTTCGCTAGCAACCTCGGCATTTCATCTCCGACAAAGTTATCCCCGAGAGAAGTAAAGCAAGTGTGTAAGTCCATCTCTGAATGTTTGTAAAGCATTCCTGCGTTAAGCTTATTACGAGGATCTTTCTACACACCACCACGACCCTACCATTCCACTTCTTTCTACACCATACCGCTGACAAGGCTGGTACACTGTGACAGCGGCCGCCCGGATCCATAGCAAAGTTACATACGCCCACCCCCCGGGGCGCGGGACCACAGCCAGCCATAGCGCATTAACACGGGAAAGGGGTAAGCCACCCAAAGCATACCACCTATCATTCCCTTTCTTATTCTTATCTCCCCCCCTAAAACCTGTCTAAAGCTTTATTAATAAATCAACATTACCTCTGCACCACCCACAATTTTAATTTGACTGTAACATGAATGAATCAATTACTGTAATTATAGTGAACCAACCTCATTCCAGACCAGTCTAACCATAGTCCACAGTCATTGCAACCGGCTGCACCGTAGGAGCTCTATTAGTAACTTTTTTTCCATTATACTTTGGAGGCACCCCCCCCCCAGAGACTCCCCCCACCCCCTCCCCCA